CAGCACTGACACTATGTACATTCAATAACTGAGAGAAGTAGTTCCTCCACCTATTCAGAATGTTGTGGGAATCTTCAAGCAGATCACCATTCTTATCCTTCACTAAGTTACTGCTAGTTTGATGCCCCCCCCCCTTTAAGCAGATCGAATCCTCACGGCCGTTAATTTCGGTTCTCTAGACCGGAGCCGCTATTTCCTTGAAACAGCTCCTCAATTATACTGACGAGGCTGAGTGGAACCCATTTCAGACCCACTACTTCTCAGAAAATCTGGTAACGGTGGGAATGGAACCCAGACCTTTGTAACTGTAGCCAGGAACTCTGACCACTATACCACAGGGGCGGTCTAACAGTACCAAAGCTTTGTTTTAATTAAAAGTTGCGGGTCTTATGATTATGAAATGTCATTACTTATTTTGAATCATAACAGCGATGCAGTATCACCCGATTATGTCATTAAGTATTATGGCAAGAGCAGGTGCGTACTATGTTCTTTGGGTTCTCTTAGCAAAATCATAAGGAATGCATTACGATGTTCGAAAACCCGTTCCATGAAGGAAAACGATGTATTAAACTTAACTGGACATCTCCTGAAGCGAAGACGCACAATCAAATCGACCATATTTTGATAGATTGGAGACGGCATTCAAGTATACTTGATGTCCTATCATCCAGGACAGCAGAGTGTGGTACTGACCACTACCTGGTGGTGGCAAAGGTTAGGGAAAGACTGGCAGTGAGTAAACAAAAAACCCACATAGTTCATATGGAGAGGTTCAAACTCAGGAAATTAAAAGAGGTAGAGGGTAAAGAGCTGAAGTGACAAAAGGTTGGAGAAAACTGCATAATGAGGAGCTTCATAACTTGTACTCTTCTCCAAGTATAATTAGATTGATCAAGCCAAGGAGGATGAGATGGGCAGAGCATGTAGCAAGAATGGGGGAGAAGAGGAATACATATAGGGTATTGGTGGGAAAGCCAGAAGAAAGAGACCACTTGGAAGACCAAGTCGTAGGTGGGTGGACAATATTTAAATGTATCTTAGTGAGACAGGCTGCGATAGTATGGATTGGATTAATCTGGCTCATGATAACCAGTGGAGGGCTCTTGTGAAAACGGTAATGAACCTTCGGGTTACATAAAATGCTGGGAAAACTTGGACGCTGAGGTGCATGTTAATAGAGCTTGGGAAAGTATTAGAGAAAATGTCAAAATTTCTGCCAAGGAGAGTCTAGGTTATTATGAACTGAAGGAGCATAAGCCATGGTTCGATGGATGGTCAAAATTAGTGGAACAAAGAAAACAAGCCAAATTGCAATGGTTACAGGATCCAAGCGCAATACATGCGGATAATGTGAACAATATAAGACACTAGACAAGCAGGCATTTCAGGAATAAAAAGAGGGAACATGTGAAAGACAAAATTGATGAGCTTGCAATGAACAGTAAGAACAAGAACATTAGAGAACTGTATAAATGAATATGACTTTGAGAGAGGTTATCATGATGTGGGCACGTCATGTAGCACAAATGGGGGAGACGAGGAATGCGTATAGGATATTGGTGGGAAAGCCAGAAGGAAAGAGACCACAGGGAAGACTAAGGCCTAGGTGGGTTGACAATATTAGAATGGATGTTACAGGGATAGGATGGGATGGTATGGATTGGATAGATCAGGCTTAGCATAGGGACCAGTGGAGGGCTCTTGTAAACACAGTAATGAGCCTTCAAGTTCCATTAAATTCTGGGAAGCTCTTGGGTTGCTGCAGAATTAGCGGCTCCTCCAGAAGGACTCAGTTCCGTGAGTGATTAAGTAAGAGAGGGGTTACCAACCTTATATTTTGCATTCGTCAGATACTGGAGAAAAAATGGGAGTACAGTGCGACAGTACATCAGCTATTTGCAGAGTTCAAATAAGCCTATGATTCAGTTGGGAGGGAAGTATTGTACAATATTTTTAATACAGTTTGGGGTACCCATGAAACTATTTAGGCTGATTAAAATGTGTTTAAACGAAACGTGTATTGACGTCCGTATTGGTAAACATTTGTCTGATAAATTTCCTATCCAGAATGGTCTAAAACAAGGAGATGCTTTACTGTCACTCTTTTCCAACTTTGCTTTAGAATATGCCATTAGGAAGGTCCAGGAAAACCAGGTGTGACTCAAATCAGACGGGACACATCATCTGTTGGCCTGTGCCGATGACGTGAATCTCGTGGAGCTGAGCCCTGCAGCTACTCAAGAATTTCCCAGCATTTTATAGAACCCGAAGGTTCATTGCCATGTTCACAAGAGCCCTCCACTGGTCCCTATCCTGAACCAGATCAATCAAATCAATACCATCCCTCTCTCTCTCTAAGATCCATTTTAATATTGTCCACCCACCTACGCCTTGGTCTTCCCAGTGGTCTCTTTCCTTCTGGCTTTCCCACCAATCACGTATACGCATTCCTCGTCTCACCTCATCCTCCTTGACTTGATCAATCTAATTATACTTGGAGAAGAGTACAAGTTATGAAGCTCCTCATTATGCAGTTTTCTCCAACTTCCTGTCACTTCATCTCTCTTCGGTCCAAATATTCTCAACACCCTCAGTCCTGGGTGATAATATAGGTACCGTAACAAAAAACACACGAACTTTAATTGACGCAAGTAAGGAGGTTGGTTTAGAAGTAAACACAGAGAAAACTAAGTACGAGTATATGCTGTTGTCTCATCACCAAACTGCAGGGCAGAATCATGACAACGATAGAAAACAGTGTTTTGAAAATGAGGCACAGTTCAGATATTTGGGAACCACGATAACAAATCAAAACCTGATTTGGTAGGAAATTAAGAGAAGACTGATCTCGGGTAATGCTTGCAACCATTCAGTCCAGAAACTTTTGTCTCCTCTTCTGCTGTCCAAAAACATAAAAATTAAAATATACAAAATTATAATTTTGCCTGTGGTTCATATGGGTGTGACACCTGGTCTCTGACATTAAGGGAGGAACACAGACTGAGGGTGTCTGAGAACAGGGCGCTGAAGATAATATTTGGACCGAAGAGGGATGAAGTTACAGGAGGTTGGAGAAAACTGCACAATGAGGAAATTCATAACTTGTACTCTTTTCCAAGTATAATTAGAATGATCAAGTCAAGGAGGATGAGGTGGGTAGGGCATGTAGCACGAATGGAGACGAGGAATGCATATAGGAAGAAGCCAGAAGTAAAGAGAACACTGGAAAGACTAAGGAGTAGGTGGGTGGACAATATTAAAATGAATCTCAGGATAGGGACCAGTGGAGGGCTATTGTGAACATGGTAATGAACCTTCAGGTTGCATAAAATGCTGGGAAATTCTTGAGTAGCTGCAGATTTGGCTTCTCCTCAAGTAGGACTCAGCTCCATAAGTTAAGTGCCCTTTTTGGCCAAATGTGTATTTCCAAACTTGGGGAGGGGGTAAATCATATTTCACATTAGTCAGAAAATCCCTGGTCCATGATGCGTCCCCACCAAAGACACAGCCGCTGTTCGGCCGTAGTTGAGGATGGCGTCATGTAACATGTGACCTAAGAAAGTCACAGTTACCAGCTCCGTGTATTAAACATAATTGGATTCTTTGTGGCCAAATGTGTATTTCCTAACTGGGAGGGGGGGGGTGGATGTACGTTATATTTCAAGGCTGATTTTAACCCCAAGCTTTCACATTAGTCCGAAAATGCAGGCCTGTGGTAGTCTGGAAATAAGCAATGAATGGACACTCTACTGATATCAGTATCCATTATCATGAATGTCTGGCTAGAAAGTGGGCAGTAAATTAATTTGATGATATTTAGAAACTGTATTCATTCCTTGATTGTTTGGAAGCAAGTTTACATGAGCCATGAAGGAATATTTAAAACAGTCTGTAATTTGAGATCTGGTGAGACTGGTTTTGAAAAGTTGTTTGCAGTGTAGCAAATGTAGTACTTTGTAGATTAGAAGTTGTGAATCTAAGGCATGTTTATGTTACCACGAATGTGTAATCTGGATACAAAGTATGCAGAAAGTGGGTGTTACCATATTTTGAAACTTGGGTAACCTGTCCGTGAATTTGAAGTGAGTTTTGAAGCAAGTTCATAGGAACATTTAAAAGTTAGGCGCGTTTTGTGAGCCAGCAAAACAAATTTTATGAACTACTGAAGCACTCGGAGAAGACCCGCCCCAGCGCCACTTTGCCCACCACAAATCCCACTTGACCAGACCCGGGATCGAACCTGGACCGCCGTAGTGGGAAGCCAGTGAGTAACCGCTTGAGCTATGGCGCGGCCGTGGCACTTCTTATTTTACATGTTGACATCCCTGGCAATGTACATAGTTTTCTCCACAAGAGTTTGCTCATTATCACATTCAAAATTCCATAATTCATCTTCATGCACAGTGGTACAGTAAGATTGGTTTATAAAATAAATTTCATTTGCAAGTCCGATCTGATCAGCCATTGTAGTGTGAAGAGTATTATTGTCACTATCCAAGTCAGATTAGAAATACTTCTGTTTGCTGTGCATATGACACAGACATGATCAGCAATCTGGTGGAAGGAGAAGAGTTTTCAATTTTGTAGCACATCGCTGGGGACTGCTCTGCTTGATACACCCAGTGCATCTTGAACATTTTCCTGCCATTTTGTTTCAAGTGCCCCCATAATGATAATCCCTTCAGCACTATTTTAAACCAAACCACATCTTGTGCTTTGCACTCATGCAAGAAACAATTCCAGGATACATTTCTGGTGTTTGACCTTCAGCCATGTTACTTTTTCATTTTGTCTAACATTACACGAATATTATACCTGTAATCTTCAATCATTTTTGCCGGAGAGTCCAGGCTGCGCTGTTGATGTCTGACTATTGTCAGAAATTATAAATATGTATAAAGGATGTGCATGCATTAACAAATCAGGGAATTGTTAGATTTGAGATGACTGGTTTGGTGGACCTCAAAGTTCATCTTAGGTACATTTTTTGTCTGCAGTTCTGGGGGATTATCTCCGATGACCATGGAATCGACTCAACTGGCGCCTACCAGGGTAACTCCGACCTCCAAAGTGAGAGATTACATGTCTACTACGACGAATCATCTGGTGGACAGTACACACCCCGCGCCATCTTGTTGGATCTTGACCCCGACTCGGTGAACAATGTCTGATCAGGGCCTCTCGGTCATATGTTCAGACTGCACAGCTTCCTTTCCGGTCAGGGTGGTGCTGGCAGCAACTGGGCTGTGGGGCACTACACTGCCGGTGCTGAGTTCGTCGCCCCTGTGATGGACGCTTTAAGAAGAGAAGCAGAGATTTGTGACCCTCTTCAGGGATTTCAGCTGACCCACTCCTTGGGAGGGGAACTGGTTCTGGATTTGGCACACTGCTTATTTCCAGGATCAGAGAAGTATACCCAGATAGGATAATTGCAACGTATTCTGTTGCACCTTCCAACACCACAATACGCAAACACACTCTGCCAGACCTTATTGAAATATCATTGGAATATTACAACGCATTACTGGCCGTCAGTCGACTCTTTAAAGATGATGTCGTGACTCATTTATTGGACAGTGATGCTCTCCACCGCATTTCCTGTGGAGCACAGGAACACATGAATCACCAAATTTCCCTAGTAATGTGTAGACTGACCACTTGCTTCCGGTTCTGGGATATGCTGATGGGCACTCTGAGTCAATTTGCTAATAGCATGGTCCCACTTGAACAGTTCCACTTCCTTGTGCCAAGCTCTGCTCCTCTCACCGCCCGTGATAGCTGACAGTACCCAGCCCTCACAATACCAGAACTGGTAAAACAAATATTTAATGCCAGGAACATGATGGCTGCCTGTGATCCAGAACATTACACCTACATTTCATCTGCGGCTATATTCCGTGGGCCCATGTCCGCGACAGAGACTGAAGAAGAAGTGAAAAACTTCCCATGCCGGAAACTGCCATATGTAATGTTTCAATACGAGGACATGACATGTCAGCGACCTTAAGTCTCAACTCCACTGCAGTAATGCAAGTGATAGAACGCATTGCATTTGAACTACCAACATTCGTGGGGAATGGGTATGCCTTGGATTTATTCTCAGCAGACGGAATAACTGATCAGCTGCTCATAGATGCACAGGAAACCGTGAGGGGCATGGTGGATTAATACAAAACCATGAACTGGATCCAATTCTCTTAAGGATAAGAATTAGAATATAAATGCAAAAACATATTAACAGTTGTTCATGTGTTTTGCATTTATATTCTAAATCCTAGAGGACCACATGCATATCCCTGGCCAAAGCTTCTTGTGTTAAAGCTTCAGTTGTACTGTTCATGTGTTTTTGCATTTGTGGGAACATCCCACATATATTTATACAGCACCCACTTTCCATCTCACTTTTAACCATCACGCGCGCTAACCAATCACGTGGCTTCCCACGCTCGCATTTATACAGCACTTGCTGTTTAGCCTCATGAAGATCATTACACACGCTAGCCAATCAGCGCACTGCAAATTTCGCTCCCCTGCCAAGCATTGTATAAAAGGTGGAGTACAAAGCTCGCAAGTCAGGCCGCATCCCGCTAATTATCGGGGTTGCAAATGTGCCAAGGAGGAGCAACAGAAAAGGAAGGCTCAGAGAATGTCCAAAACTACCACAGGGACGGTGTTCTCTTCAACCATCGTCACTCCAGGTGTCTCCTTCGCGGCGGCACTCCGAGGCAGTACAGTAGAGCAGCTGCAGCAGCACCCTCAGGAAAGCCATGTTCGATGGCTCCACCCACAGCAAGGAAGCAGATTGTACCGGCCCCTGCACTGCAGAAGGAAACAGGTTAGTCAGTTCAGGCTACTCATGTAAACGGTCAATCCCTTGACAATATGTTGAGAGTAGTGACTGTAGTACAGCAGATTATGACAGAGGTCAGGGGTGCAGTGTCCAAGGAGGAAAAAATTATGGCCATTACTAAACTTGTTCTAAATCTAATGAAACAGAATGGCCACTACAGTTCATAGACCCCTCAAAGTCATAGCATTTAATGCGAACTGCATTGGGAGGCAGAGCTATGAGCTCAGTAAACAGCTGCAAGATCTACACGTAGATGTGGCCCTGTTTTCAGAGACATCTGAAACCTCATGAGAGGTTCTTCATTCCAAACTACCACTTTTATAGAATCGACCGCCACTGGGGCAGAAAAGGCAGAACTGCCGTTGTAGTTAGAAAAGGCATTCCCCATAACCATATAAACCTACCACTCCTTGTTTCAGTAGAAGCAACGGGGGTCTGCATACCAATTGGTAATAGCGAAGTACTGCTTGCAGCTGTTTATAAATCTCCAGGCAGAGCCTGGAGTGATACTGACATCAATGAGCTCTTAAGCTTTAGACGTAAGACTATTTTGGCAGGTGATTTGAATGCTAAACACCCTTTTTGGAATAGCAGGGTTTCAAACCCTTCAGGCTTGAAACTGGTTGATTTATTTGATCAGAGTGATTTTGAAATCTCAGCATGACAGTGCCCCACTCATTCCCCTGTGGGAAATGGTGACGTGTTAAACATTCTGGTTCACCAAAATATCAGAGTGTCAGATATCGTCTCTGATATTTTGGATTCAGATCACCTACCAGTAGTATTCCACATACTGGATCACGTTAAAATTAGGAATCTTTCGGAACCCATTGAAAAATTTACAGATTGGGAGCGGTTTCAAAGCCTCGCGTCTGAGTTAATATCACCTAAACTAGAAATTAAGTCGGGTAGAAGCCGATAAAGTGGCATGCGACATTGCAGCCTCTATTGCTTCGGCATATAGGTTCTTTACAAGTAAAATTACACTTTTGGATATAAACAATGATCTACCTGGTCTAGATCGTTTGATAAAATATAAGCAGAGGCTGAGCAGTGGTCAGCTGCCTACTCGTGTAACTAACGGGTCGTTCCTTCCCGTTTTGTACTTGGGCTAAAACTGCCGAAATCCCATGGTCACTCGCATCAGTATGTCGCCTGAACTCGTGAGAAGGATCCATGCTCGGGTAAGCGAGCACCGTATCGGAGCTGATCTCCGCTTTCAAGCGACTGAACGCTTCTTCCTGATCCTTGTCCCACTGGAAGTTGTGGTCTTTCTTTGTCAATACGGTGAGGGGTCGACTGATTTCCGCGTAGTTTGGAATGTACTATCGGTAATACCCACTCAGTCCCCAAAATGACTGTACTTCCGTTACAGTGCGGGATCGAGGGTAGTTTCGAATTGCCCTCACCTTGTCCTCACTGGATCCAGCCCCTTCTCGGGTTACACGATGGCCCAAGTATTCTACACTTTCGCAAAATGGCATTTTTCTAAATTTAAAGTTAACTTTGCGGAACGTAGCCTCTCAAAGACTTCCCGCAAGCGTTCCATATGTTCCTGTAATGTGCGACCAAAAACTATCACGCCATCCATAAAAACCAAGCATGTTACTTGACCTAATCCTAACAAAACTTGGTCCATAACTCGGGTGAAGGTGTATGGGGAACCTGCTAGTCCAAACGCCAGTCTTTCGTACTGGTACGTCCCAAACGGCGTTGTAATCCGTCTTGGGTTTGTCCTCTGGCCGTATCTCAATATGATAGCAGGCATCCTTTGTAATGTAATTTTGTTGTGTACGTTCGCGTGTGTGAGGGTGGTGATTCACATGCGAACTCAGGATGTTACGGAATGTGTCACTACGTCTTGGAACGTAGAGGGTAATGTGTATTAGCTGCCACCAGGTGATTAGCCTGAATCACCACAGGTGCGATGTTTTTGCACTACTCCAACAGGTGAGATGCTCTGGCCAGCTGTGATGTTAAACTCTGCCTGCCGAAGTCGTATAGAGTGTTGTGAACCGAAGCGCTGGGCGTGCAGGTAAGCAAGATCCCCTTGAGGACTTGGATGTAAGAAATCAGGTAGCTGACATGAATTTGTGAGGTGGAATCAAACACTTTACTTGAGCAAGACATGAAAATAGTTACAGCACAGGAATCAAACCCCTGACTCCCGAGAGCGGTACGCTCTCCGACGTAAGCACTGTATATTGATTATCCTTATAATGAACTCTTACAATGCCAGCCCTTATATATTAATGCCTTCGGGCGTGGCAAAATCATGTGACTTTATAGCGTCTATTTCCTTATAAGGAGAGCTTGGCCCCTGGATACTCGAGCCAATTCTTGGAACCATAACGTCACTCTTAGTGCCATGTGCACAGCTTATGTCTTCATTTTCAAGTTACAACATACATGTTTACATTAGGGCTATTCTACCGTTTTATGCTATGTATCAAGAGCATCTCACAATGTCTTATGCCCAATTAACATAATAAAACACTATTAAACATCAAAAAACTCAATACATAGTTCTATTATTCATCAGATTAGCGTAACCACATTACACCTTGAGGTCCACAAATGAAAAATATCGATTTCCGTTTAGTCTGTCCAGGTTCTCTTGCACTAGCGGCATGCAGAACACCGGTATCTTCGTCACTGCATTCAGGCCTCTGAAGTCTGCGCAGAATTGATACTTAACCGTTCCGTCAGTACTTTCCTTTCTGATCAAGATAACTGGTGCGGCACATTCCGTGGCAGCTTTCGTCAACACGCATCTTTGCACCATATCGTCAGTCTGGTTTCTCAGCTCTTCTCTCAGAGCATACGCGATACGATATGGATTCCGTTTTACAGGTTTCGCCTCACCTGTATCAATTTCATGGAGTCCGAAGTCCGTGCGCGGAATTATCCCATTTTCGTCTTTTTAAAGAGATCTTGATAGTCGAGCAGAGCTGGTTTTATAACTCGTTTTTCCTCTGCTGTTAAGTGGCTTATTTTCTCCTCTAGTAACCTAGGTACACTGGCATTCTGTTCCCTCACTTTGGGGTCCAGTTGTCGGGGGTACCTATCCGTTTTCAATATATTTGGTCGGATGGTCGCGTCGTCTTTGTGACGTCATCTACGAGGTCTGCTTCCGTAATGTCACAGACGTTAGCGATATTTGTCTCCGGTTGCAACGTAACACTTTCTCTGCTGGTGTTAATCAGCTAGGCAGTGCAGTAGGTTGCTATGTTTGCACTTTGCTCGTCGCTGACGTTGCGTTCACGTGTCTTGTGAATGCGATGTTCTATCAACGCTATACTCGTAAAAAACGCCGGAAACTATCCGAGCAGTATAAATTCCTCGAAGCGGTATCTCCACCGTTTCGGAATGTATCCATTTCTTGAGGGATGCTTTCGGCACAGCTTTCTGTTCTGTTATCTTTCCTCTTGTGACCAAAAGTGTTCTGGGTTCTAGTAAATCGTTTCTGGCAACACAGCTTGCCATTGGTGGAGTGTTTCCACCTACCCGTCTTCCGCTGACGATTCTGTCTCGCTGGGTTCGGCTGAGGCCTCCTTTACCTCACATTTCACTAGTCTTCTTGACTCTTTGGTTATTCGTGTAGCCGTCCTTGCTTCCTCTTTTACGTTTTCCTGAGGTTGCGGCTCCGTCCTTCTCACCGTTGACTTCTGAATATTCGCCTTTCTCCTTCCTGTCGGAGGGTACATCAGCTTGACTGTCTGGCCGTCCAGGTTTATCTCCTGCGGCTATGTCAATACGGCCGCCTAGCCCTCTCAATAAATCTAGCCCAAATATTCCGTGTTTCTGGATCGGAAAGGGCGCTACCACAAAATCGTGGGTGTACTGCTTGTCCCCAATGACGAATTCTATCCGTCTGGTTCCTTCAATTTCCAAGTCCTGTCCGGTTATGGCCCTAACCGCTTCCCTAATTTCCATCGTGGGTTCATCCCCCACAAATGGTTGAACTAGACACACGTCTGCTTCGGTGTCAGTAATAAAATTGTGATCTGTCCCTAGGACCTTTACCTCAATACACAATTCTCTGTTCTCTCCTGCTGTGGCTAGCGGTGTACAGGCGGCTGTATTCCGACGATTGATGGGGCGTTCTACCGTCGAAATTATTTAGGGAGCGATCACCTGTCTCTTTTGTTGGCTTCTTTCTTGCCTCACACTTTCAGGCTGTATGACCCTGTTGTCCACATGAGAAGCATGTAATCCTGGGGTCGAACCTGACCTTTGCTCCTTTCCCGTGGTTCCTGTGGTCGTCGTGTCGGTGACCCTCTTGGCTAACCGTTCTGACGCCATGGTTGCTTGTATTGGTTTGATTTTGTGGAGTCCTTTCTTTCCGTTTTCACGACTAGTGTCTCGTGGTCCCTGGGACGCTGCTCCATTAGCTTTGCGTTGTGCACCATTGTGGTTATGTTCAACGCTTGTTCCACCGTCTGGGGTTTGCAGATTCTTAACTCCCTCCCTGGATCACAATTTGTATTAATCTACCATGCCCCTCACGTTTGCCTGTGCATCGTTGAACAGTTCATCAGTTATTCCATCTGCTGAAAATAATTTCAAGGCACACTCATTCCCCCTATATGTTGGTCATTCAAATGCCATGCGTTTTATCACTTTTCTTACAGAAGTGGAATTGAGGCTTAAGGTCGCTGATAGGTCATGACCTCTTACTGAAACATTACATGTGGCATTTGCCGGCATGGGCATAATCTTTCTTTGCCACAAGTTTTCCAGTTCTTCTTCATCCTCTGTCGCGGATATGGGCCCACAGAATATAGCCGCAGATGAAATATAGGTGTACTGTTCCGGATCACAGGCAGCCATCGTGTTTCTGGCGTTAAATATTTGTGTTACCAGTTCAGGTAATGTGAGGGCTGGGCACTGCTGGCAACCACGGGCAGTGAGAGGAGCAAAGCTTGGCACAAGGAATCTGAACTGTTCAATTGGGACCATGCTATTAGCAAATTGACAGTGCCCATCCGCATATCCCGGAACCGGAAGCAAGTGGTCAAACCCGACATTACCATGGAAATTTGCCGATTCATGTCATCAGTCGTGGGACTCGTGTCCCTGTGCTCTACAGATGTAGTGCAGAGCATCATTGTGTAATAGATGTTATGACCTTATCGCTGAACATTCCATTTACAGCGAGTAAGGCGTTGTAATGTTCTAACGAACCTTCCTTGACGTCTGGTTGAGTGCGCCTGCTTATGGGTCTAACCGCCCTGACCTTTCTTCGTCGTCGTTACTCGGGCCAAC